GTTTGCCCCTGCCTATTTTGATTCCTTCCTGCTGAATAGGTAATTTCTTCTTTGCAGAAGAGGCATATTTTGATCACATTTAACCTGCATCTGTTTCTGCATTAGCCTAGCAATGTCTAAAGGACCTTCAGTAAGGGTAGACTCCAGGGATGGGGACGAAGTTCATTCATTCCACACGTTCATGCAAAGTTGCGGTGCAATCCAGTCGGGCTGCCCATAGACCTCTGACCTCTGAGGATTCAGGGCAGTCTATTCAGAATGGGAGCAGTTCAGAAATGAAGCTCTTCAGAGCAGCTAGTCAACTGTGGCATCATGACTGTTTGGCCATGAAAGTCCCTGCGTGACTTTGGGCCAGTCATGGACTCCCAGTCTAGCCTTGCTGTTAGGATAAAATGGAGAGGAGGCCCTTCCAAGAGGAAGAAAGGGAGAATATGAATGCAGTTATAAATGCAACATGACCGCACCAGCAACAGTGGTAACTGCAGCGCTTTGTCAGCGGATGGAGAATGGGGCAGGCACCACTGGGATATGTGGTATCCCATCAGTTCTGCTCTCCTTTCCTCTCCTCTCCTTCTTGCCTTCTGGGAACCCTCCCTCTCCAAAGTCCCTCCTGGAACCTTATAGGTAAAGTCAGTGTGCTTCTTTCTGGGCAGGCTACAAGAGGGAGGAGGACACTCCAGGTGTGGATGCCCGTTCAAGACAAGAAGGAACTGGAATCTGGAACTGCTTGTTCCACACCAGAATTCAGTCTTCGAAAAGTCTTAGTACCTTTTAGATGCTGTCTAGGGCTCAGGGGGCCCCATCACTGAATTATGTGTTTCCAAAGCACTATGTCAACACAAACTCCATTATCCTTCAAAATTCAAATTTCTCCAAATTTTGCAAAGGAATTGCCCAGTCAAAAATACATATATTCAGGAAAATATTGTTTAACTTTCCCTAAAATGCACTGTTTTAGGAAATGTGCTTGGGGAAAAGTATATATCATGCAAAAAGGCATACAAAAATGCCTGTATTTTAAAAATGTGTACAAAATGGCTTATGAATGTTCATGTAAACTTTTAAGAAAAATTTTCAGCATTCAAGATGACTTCAACTTAAGCTTGGAAAAATTAGAAGTTGAAAGAAACCTGAATTGACAGATAGATCTGTCCCCTATGTAGTAGATCCAGATTTATTTATTTATTTATTTATTTAGGAGGCTTCTATGCCGCCCCATCGCCGAAGCCTCGGGGCAGCTCACAATAATAGATAAATAAACAAGATTTGCTTCCTCTCCGAGGCCTGTGCTGTGCAGAAATACACCTGGTGATGGCCACGTGTTTCTGGACATCCAGGTGTGAAACTGGATGCCGGAGCTGGATGTGAACTGATTATCTAAGGGAAATGCAACCATTTCCATGGTAGGTTAGAGCAAACATCCATCAGAGAATATTCCATGCTATGTCATATGCTCTAAATATCCATCCTCTAATCAGATAATACATTTAAGGGACTGGGTTTTTTCCACTGGTGATTGTTGTCATTCTTGAGGCACCTCCATATTATCTGCATGGCCTTATTATAATATTTACTGTTTATCAGCTGATTCATTATACAAACAATTCAGCTCACTGACAGCTTCCCTGGGTTCACACTCCCTTATTATTATAATTTCTGTGCATAAGGAGAGTTTCCAACATATTACGTATGCATCTAATGCTCTGACCATCAAAGCACATGTTCTTTCTCTCATTTCGCTAATGTTAATTGCATTTAAATTGAAGCCAAAATTACTTTTTTGAAGGTAAATTGATGTGGCCAATACCAACATTTATAAATTAAATGCCCATCATTGTGCTGAATCTTCTGTACAGCCATTTTCTTTTTCAAGGAGATTGTTCAGCCAAATCATAACTGACAGGAAGAGAGTTGCATTTTCTGATGCTTGATAAAAACCACTAAAACAAAAATGAGCTGAGGAGCTCCTTCAGGTGGCTTCCACCTCATCACCTTATGAACATTCTTGTCTTGTAAAGCAAGTCATCTCAAATTTTTCCAAGACTGTGTGAGACCTGGAACCTGAGATGGCAGGGTTCTGTCCAAAACTGGGGCAATTCTCTTCTCACAAGGACAAAGCTGTCTGTTGCTCCATATATACTACTAATTTATTTATCATTGTCTGCTGAAGCAGCCCAAAGCCGCCCTAAGCAGATTACAATCCATAAAGCATATAATAGCAATAAAAAGAGTAATTGAAAGTACTATATACAGGCAACAATAAAGGAAAGCAGCGGAGGACACATTAATTTAAAACTATTCATATTAACACAGCTTTAAAATTATGCAGATAAAATCAATTATTACAATGCCTAGAGAATAAAACAGTTTTTGCCTGTCACCAAAAAGATTGTAGCGAGGGTGCCAGGCAAACTTCTTTTGAGAGGCTGTTCCACAAGTGGGGAGCAAGTGCTGAGAAGGCCCCCTTCTATTAGCTTTCCTCCTTACTTCCTTGGGGGATGGCTCATTCAGAAGGGCCTCCAAAACAGATCTTAGGGTTTTGGAGTAGGTACCTATGGGAGCAGGCAGTCCTTCAACTACCCTGGTCCCAAACTGTTTAGGCCTTTCTATGTTAGAGCGGGGCCTGGAACTCAACTGGTAACTGGTGAAGTATTGTTGTCACATGGGTGTGTGTTCCTGCTCACATCAACAGTTGTGCTGCCCTATTTTGTACCAGTTGAAGTCTCCGGACTGCCATCTAGGGCAGCCCCACGTAGAGTGCACCACAGTAGTCCACTTGAACGGTTACCAGAGCATGGTGACTGTGTCTAGACTCTGTCTGTCCAGGTAGGACCGTATTTGATAAATCAACCACAGCTGAAGAAGAAGGCACTGCTGGCCACCAGGTCTACCTGAAAGCAGTAGTGGAGGTCAAGCAGTAGTGGAGGTCCCAGGTCCAGGAACTGGGCAACAAGAGTGGTGTCCTCTTGCTCTTGTGCCCACACTGTGGGCTTCCCAAGACACACAACTGGCAGCAGTAGGAACACAATGCTGAACCGGAGGGAGCTTTGGTCTAGCCCAGCATGGCTTGCCTTCTTCTTCCACCCCTTGAATCATACATTTGTATCTTCTTCTCACCTCAGTGCACAAAAGAGAGGCACATCGCCCTCTGTTGAGGTGACTCATCCTGTGTGGTCAGGGAATATCTGTTATCTAATAGAGAGAAAGAAAAGCTATATTACCTAAGTAGACTGAGAATATCTATTTTCTGTTCTATTGTCCTTATTGGTTTTATTGAGGAGACAATCTAATATAGCTGACTTGTGGCAGTACATGGAGAAGAGAAAGGACTATAGCTCAACACAGGGAGCATCGCATGCCAACTATAGAAACATAGAATATAGAAACAGAGCGAGTCAAAAGGGGTCTCCCAGGCCATCTATTCTGACCCCAGGCTCCAGCCAGTTCTACTCATGACATGCCTACCATGTGCATTCCAGCCTATCCTTAAACAGCCCCACCAATGGGGCTTCAACCACCTCCTGTGGAAGCCTATTTCATACCCTGGGGTCCTAACCATCAAGAAGTACTTCCTGGCATCCACCTTGATTCTTGGTTCCCTGAGCTTTGCTCCATTGGAACGCGACCTGCCCTTATCTGCGGGGGGGGGGGGGCACAGGCCACCTCTGCTTCTGCCTCCTGTTCAGGATATGTGTGGTGGGAAAGACCCAGTGGAGTTCCACAAGATCCCATGCCAGTGGAGAACCACCCGCAGTCAACGCAGAGTGGAGTGCTTCAGCGTTCGTTCCATTCACAGGCCACCTATACATACCCCATGAGAGCCAGAAATGGGAAAGAGCTACAGAATGAGCCATTTTAAAATGGCTCCCAGAGCTGCTGTGGAGTGCAGCCCAAAGGGTCAAAATTAGAGAAGGCACGTGTTGCCATCCCTGCAGTCGGTACTTCTAAATTGGATGGACCCCCACTTTGAGCTGATGTATAGCAGTTTTCTACCTGAACCATATGTGGCATTAGCAGACACAGGAATACAGGAAGCTGCTTCTTTATGAACCGGCCCACTGGTCCAAACACCTCCATCTTTGTCTCTTCTTTGTCTAGGAATCTCTCCTGTGGAATCTGCAATAGACCAGCTGTCCCCAGTCACATTGATTCCATGGATCTGCAGACCATTTCTATTGTTTTACACACAGCTGATGTTAGAAACCTATAGAAAATAGCAAACCAACAAAAAATATGCATTTCCCCATAGGTTAAAGCATAAGAATCACATTTTGAGGGGATCTGCACATTTTGGGGAGTGCAAGTTTATAGCAGCACATCCTTCTGCAAATTTTGTGCCGAATCCAGCTCCATCATTGTACAGAAGATGGAATGAAAGGTACCTGATAACCCACCAAATGGTGCTGGAATTGATTTTATGTTATACATTCCTAACCTAAGGCAATCACCATGGTTCCCTTTGATCTAAGTCAGAAATCACAACAGGGATTCCCCCACATTCCATTTTTCCTCCCCCTGCAGGAGGAATCCCCTCTGATGTGGGAGAGGGACTGTGCCAGGACCAAAAAAGTCAACCACACTCACTGATCTGGTTTGTTCTACAGGGAGTTTGATGGGAGCATCCACCCACCACCAGGAAAAAAGTTCTGCATCTCTGGCCAAGACCATGTGCCTACTTTGCTTCTGGTCCTTCAGGCTCCCCGTCCAGACATATATGTGCACACACAGGGGAACACGAATGAATGTCAAGCAAGGAGGGTGAATTATCATGCTGGTCAAAGAACCATCATCTTCTGAACCCATTGTCTCCCTTCAGAATTCCAAGCATAAGTGGATTAGTCTGTTTCTAAAGCAAGCTGCTTTATGCTGTTTACCTTGCTAATCCTCATGGCATAGATTGACTGGAGCTTAAATCCAGGTCTTCTTGATATATACCCTCTGGACTCAACTGACACAATCATAAGGACTAGTAACTTAATGTTTTTGTTTTCTCTCTGCAGAATCATTGAAGACAATGAGACTTGCCAAACCCTGAATAGTAAACTGTAAGTGTGACTAATCAAGGGATAAACATGTATTTTGGTTTTGTCCAAGTGCAAAGATGCTTCTTGTCAAAGACTCTTTTGTGTTTAAATAAGAAAAAGGTAGATGTTGGTCTTGGGTTACAACTTGGTCTCAATTTTAATTTGATCACACAGATAATAAACAGGCTGAAGAAGGAAGTCCAGGGTCCTGACGTGGCTACTCGCAGCCACTGGACTGGCTATCCATTTCATGGTTTGGCCTTCAAACTTCCAGTTCGTGCTGAGCCTCCGCATCCTAACTGACACTTCCACAATTTCTGCACAGTTCTTCCCTGACTGTTGCCCAAACTCTGTCAAGTGGTTCCCTACTGACCCCCCATGACCTTACTTCTGAATGTGCAATTTCCCTACGTATGGGCCTTGTTTCCACACCCACTCCAGACCAGCCACTAGATGCAACAACAGTGCATCTTGCATTTATAATCCTGTTCAAGGTATGAAAGTATAATCCTCTGCACATGGTAGGCATGTCATGAATGGAGCCAACTGCAGTGGGGGGTCAGACTAGATGACCTTGGAGCCCCTGTCTGACTCGCTCTGTTTCTATGTTTCAAGGGAAGGTTAAAAGCAAGTCAATCCCTCAGCCTATCAGATTAGCATGAAAAGTGTCCTTCCCAGCCTCTACTAGATTACCAACCAGTGCCTTGGGCTCCCCAGGAAGGGTGTGACTGTTTGCCCAGCCTTCCCTGAGACAATGACAGGCCATGTGGGCAAAGCCTTGTCCAGCCCTGCTATGCTTTTTATCTCATGAGAAGCAATTCTGCATGGAGTTTCCCTCCCCAGATTTCATAATGGCCCGATTCCTGGCCAGTACAGGAGTTTCTCCTCCTTCCCTCCGTCATCTCCCCAAAGATCCCAGTTGGGGGGGTGGGCTTCTCTTGAACTTCAGGGCTGGATCAACAGGTGGCCACAGAGCCAGGGGGGTTCACCTTCTCCTAGGGAGAAAGACACTTTCTCTGCAAACAGTGGAGGTTCCAAGGTCTATCTTACTTTAGATACTGGCAATTTTATACCAAAAGATCTGAGAACTCCGGCTTCCTGAGGATGCAAAGCATTTGTTATCTGCAGTCCCTAAGCTCACCTAACAAAATTATGTCCCCCAGGATTCTCCGAGGGAATAAGTACTCAACAGGTTTGAGTACAAGTGGCCTTATATTAAATCCTCTGAGTACCGATTGTCCACAGTGGTGTACTGGCATTAATTCTAAATTATGGCTGCTGATGAGTTGCAGAATTGCCTCCCCAGGCTGTATGAGTCCAGAGAGAAAGGAACATCCACAGTATTTCATCCCTGTAATCTCTTTGTAATAATTCAGGCTGCAAAATGATTGGTCTGGAAGAGATGTGATTTCTCAGGGTAGCTGGATGACCAGTGGATTGGTGGAGGCAGGTGGAAGAGGCAGGGTTCTGGGCTTCGTGTGTTGCAGCAAATTGAACAGAGAGGAGAGGAGAAGGAAAAGACTTGGTCTTATCTTGCTTTTGCTGTGATGGGTTTCCTGGGGTGTTATAAAACATTTTAACTCTTTGCTGAACTGGCCAAGGATGCAAAACAGAGCACTTAGCAAAAGTTCGCCTGTGCAATGAGCCAGTTACACGGCTTCAGATGTTGGGTTAATTAATGAAGGGCAAGGCAGGCAGCAAACGGCCTAACAAAGGAATGGACAAATTATGAAATCTGTTTTTTATTCCATGATTTATTTATTATATTTATTTATTTTTGTATTTGCATTTCACTTTTTTCTGCAAGGAACCTAAAAAAGCATTCTTGATCTTCCTCTTCTCCATTTTATCCTCACAACAACCCTGAGAGGTACTAGGTCAGTAATTGAGTATTATGGACTCTCCAAAGTTACTCACTGAGCTTTATGGAAGAGAAAAGTTCTCCTAAAGTCCAACACTTTATGCCAGCACAAATATTTTTAGATCTTTATTTTTATGGTAGACTGAAGGCTCCAGAAAGTGTTGCTTTTGGCAAACCTTTTGCAGAAGTCCACCTATGAGAAGTTACTGTTGCAGGTGGTTCTACAGGTCCAAGGAGATTTGGATTTAAATTTTCTGTAACAGCTGTGCTTCCTCACCTACTCCACAGCAATTCCCAGGCTCTCTCTTGGCCCTCCAACCATCATCTTGTTAAGTTATGGCCCTAAGGAAAACACCTTGGAGGGTTGGCTAGGTCCAGGGTATCACAAGTCTGCCTTGGAGTGTGTTAATGCTGGAAAAGTGGCTTTTCTGGTGATACTAGAAACAGCTGAATTTCTCTTAAAGCAGAGCATTTAACTAAGGTCATAAGGACTCTTAGACAACAGAAGCATTTAAACATCCATAAGAAAATAGTAAGAAATTCATCTAAATTCATTTTTTTAGCAGGGATTATCCAGTTTGTAGCTTCCAAACTAAGCACAGACAAAGACACAATCTGTGATCAAAGTCCACACATTTGCACTGTGATTTGCAGAAGGGAAAAAAAAATCAGCAGCATGCATTGATCAATGTTTATTAAAAATGCATGCTCTGAAAAATGTTCACAAATATGCTTTAATCAATGGGAAAATAATAAAGTGCATGGGGAATTTGCATGGATTTTTATACAAAAACAAAGCACACAAACTGATGGACTAAGACTGGAACAAGCTTTGAGATGGAATGTGGAGAACTTCAGCAACCTCGAGCTTTAGAGCTTCACACACCCCTGGCCCTATCTGAGATTTGTAAAAAGCCTATGAGGCCTCTGAAGGAAGGAGATGCAGCCGAGCTAAGTGCCTGAATTATGGCACGCTCTTTACCAGTAGTCTATTTTCGTTCTGGCTGTAAGTTTCCATGCTGAAGCAAGATGGCATGGCCTGTTATACCCAGAACTCGCTCATCCATGGGCTGATGGTTCAGCTTTCATTTCACAGTGCCCACTGCCCTGGCAGCAAATGTCTGTTGCCAGTGAAGCTGAACTGAAATTTCTACCACAGCTGAGTTAGTCAGCACGGCTGCCAGACGCTTCGTATGCCTGTCCTGTCTGGGTGTCTGGGTTTGTTTTGTAGCGATTGTCATATTTTGCTTCTTCTCAAATCCAAGCGTGATGTGAATTGCATCACATTTCAGGATGTCTCATCCAAGCGGCCTTGTGTGCACTTCTGAAAGCGATTGGTCAGGCTTTCCCCGGGAGGTCTCAGCAATTGCTGAGTTTCTCTCTCACTGAATTCCCTTGGTTATTTGGACTGGACCCAGGGGTGCGGCCGGTGAAAGGTCTTCCCCCCTCCCTTGCCGCAATGCTCGATAGCGCCGGGGACAGGAGGCTATTGGCCAGGGTGGGACTCCTGCTTTGCAAGCTGCAGGTGCCAGGTTCAGCCCCTGGCTTCTCCAGCTCTACCACAAGCAGGCAGCAAGTGATGAGCAGGGAGGGGGACCCCTGCCATGGGACCATGGCATGCCAATGCCAGGTTCAGTAGGATATATTAAGCAACGGGGACAAATGGTCTAAGATGGTACAAGGCAGCTTCCTATGCCATTAGTGCTTTTGCATACTGCCCTCCTTAGCCACCTAACACACGTCAGGCTGAAGCAAACATTATGTTAAAAACTGTTTGTTTACTGTTTGTTTACTCTAATACAAAATAATATAGGTCAGGAATTAACTCTTCCCCACTCTATAGTTCCAAGCTAGACTGGTATCCCTTAGTTTGCCATTTAAACTGCCAAATAATGATCCATTCGTGGATCCAGATCAGAGCACAGTTGTGGTCCTTGTGCTTATACCAGAGTAAAAGTACACAAAGGATTTAACTCTTTGTGGAAGGTCTGGTCCTAAGTCGTGCTCACTTGCAATGGCAGTGGGAACCAGACGTTTAGCATCAGCTTTTGCATTTTTGAACTTTGTAGAATGCCTCCCCCAGCATTTTTCTGCTTTCTTGACCTGTAGCCCAGTCCTAGTCAAGATGGGTCAGATGGGCTTTGCTTCATGCTCTCTTTTCCTAGGTCCGTATCCTGGGCCTCATGCCAAATTTTGAGCCTCCTTCATCCAGAAAAAAGTGAATTAAGATGTGTTGCATCCCAGATGCTGACATAGAAAATTAAGATGTGTTCATCTTCATCTTTAAACTCCCTTATCTAAAAAGAGAAGAAATCCTTGGGCAACCTCAAGAAATTTCTAGATTTTCCCTGGCAAATTACACCTATTGGGATGTAATTATAACAAATGCTCTGATGCTACACTTAATTACAAAATGGATGAATGCACAAAATGCTATTTTTTTTTCCAGCATATTAAGGACCTCCCAGAGATCCTACTGCACAATGCTTGTGTCAACATACAAAATCATTAAGAAACCTTTACTTTTCATCTTGATTTATCTCACCATGCCAGGAATGAACAGATTGTTAGCAGTTTCCTTTTTAAAAAACATTTCTCCAACAAAGTTTTCACTTTGCTTAGTCTTCTTTTGGCTGTGATCATCATGGAAAACATCACCCCAGCAATGTTATTACCTTTCTGCCAATATTTCAGCTTGGTTGCCCTCCCAACCGAGCCTTAGGTTTATTGATATTTTAAACTTCAGATAGCAGGGCAGTGCCTCTAAAGTATTGCTGGGAGATCAGACGGTTATTAAAGGAACAACTAAATATTGTCTGCAGCACTTGATCTCCTAAACTACTGTGGCTACAAGCAAGTGGGTAAGATGGGGCACAAAGCTCTCTGCGCTCTGAGGAAATCAAACCGCAGCATTGCGGGCAAGCCAGATAAAGGGATTCTGGCACAATTAGTCTAATCACTGATAATGGAGGAGGAACCAGGCTTCAGCCCTAATGAAGTATTACATTATGGGCTAATATGTGAATCAGAACAGCTATCTTTCAGATTCTACACATCCCCACATTTTATAATGCAACAATTGGCTCAAAAATTGCCTTCAAAATATGTATATTAGGGCAAGTTGCATCCAAACATGTATATATTAGGGAAAGCTGCACAC